CATTGTGGTGGTGTATAGAGCCAAAGATGTTAGAATTGTGTTGATGTCCCAATATTTCTGGACCTGACTGTACATATCACTTGGGATAAAAGAGCCCCTCAACACATTGACTTACAGATTTCTGTGCACACATCTTACATGGGTGATTTTCAAAGAATGTTCCAGTCCCAAGAAGAGTCAAGAGAGGAATGTTTTATTTATTGCAGGTTTAGACTGGAGTAAGTAAAGCAAGATCCAACAAAATCAGACATGTTTTTAAAGAGAAAGGAAACATGTTCTAAGAATTCTTTAAATGGCTATGTTGGAGACTGAACATGAAAAATATGACACATCTGAGTTCAGGACATTTGCTCCAGATAAGAGACAGCATAGTCCTCAGCTGAATAGTGGGCAGGGCAAGAGGCTCAGAAGAGACCCTCCATAGTTTCTTGGACTGTAAAGGAGACAGGGGTGTGTATGTGGGGATAACTCTATTTTCAGACTTGCAAGATTCTGTCAATGTAGCTTTACAATAAAGTAGAATTATCTCATCTGGGTGTGATTCCTATCTGGTATACCCTGTGAAGCCAACATCATTCTTGCAAGTCTGAAAGTACAATTCTTACCATGTGAACGGCTTATTTTCAACCCCTCTTCCTTTTCCAGAGTGACAACCACACAGGTGATCTTGGCATTTTTGTTTATGTACAAGTCTTTTGGATGTGGGGGCAGAAGGTAAGTGTTAATCCCAGGGGAGGCATGACTACTGTCACCTCTGGATGCAAAATTCATATCAGCCCTTACATCACTCCTCATTTTTCCATTAGGCCCTTGACCTAATTTGTTCTTTCTGGATCAGTTCTTGAGTTCATCAGGGTAAATGTTGCCCTGAACTGGATTCCTAGAAGAACAGGTTCTAGATTAATTTTCTTTCTGTTATCCATCTGTATCAGAGGCTTGCTTATTTATTTATTTATTTATTTATTTATTTATGAATGAATGAATGAATGAATGAATGAATGAATGAATGAATGAATGAATATGGTGATACATCACTCAAGTGGAACTTCTTAGACCTCAAGGTTGTTATGTAAGTGAAAACCAGATATTGTTTCACTTGAGAGCTCCAGAGTCTAAATCGAGTGCTGTGAAACCTTTTCCTTGTGAATGGAAAAATGGGTATGAATTGAAATCCTCTACAAACAAAACACTACCCCAAATCTTGTTATTTCATTTAAGAATGTCAACCCTCCCTCTTGTTTGTTGGCTCCTCTGCTCATCGACAAGGCAGAAAATTGAGAGGTAAGGCTCATAATGGCCCAATCTGAACATTTCATTTCATTTCCTAAACTGCAAATTTCATTTTTACTTACATTTATGCAATTTAGGCTGCAGCAAATTGCCCAGAAGAAGAAAAACTATGGGGAAAAGGGAGCAGCCATGTCCTTTAAGAGGAAGAAGCACATCATAACATTCAGGTAAAATCTATGGGATGAAATGGAGATTCACTTTGGCTTAAATGGATTACAGATCAGGACCCAGAGTTCATTTATCTTTCTCAGCCATCTGGGACAATGTTGGTTATAAAAGGATTTCTTGATTTTGACTTTGTGGTAGCATTTAAGTAAATAAATATCCAGCAATGCAATATGGAAATTGTAGGATTTTCCTTAGTCACATATCTGAAATTACAATGTGAGACCATAGAATTTTTCTCATTATTTTTTCCTCTTTCAATTTGCTTGTTAAGGAAAGAAGCTGAGGGATTCTAACCTTTCCCACACCCTTCAGCTAGTGAGGAGTACGCCAGGTCAAGACATGCCTCTGATACAAGGTTGTAGCAGGAACCACCAAGCAGCTACATCAAGGGAGGAAGACCATCCATGGCAATCTTGAGTTTTCTTAGGACTGGAACATCATTTGAATATCAGGTATGAAATGGATGTTCAAAGAAATCTGTAGGTCAGTGCACTGAGGAGGCTCTTTTATCCCAAGCAATATGGAAATCAAGGCACCATTTCCTCTTTAAAGGAGCCCCATGGTTTCCCTGTTCAGGCTACACCAACCAAAGTTGCAAAAGGCTTCTGGAAGAGGAGGTTTCCAATTGCCAACATCTGGCTTTCTTGCCTCTGCCCAGCTGAAGGGAGGAGGTTCAGGAATCAGGTCATTGACTATAAATTAATGTAGAAAGAATAAAAAATGAGTATCCTGTAGAAAAGAACTAAATGGAGGAGGGTAGGTGATATTGAGAGGAACAAAGGGGATTGACCTGGAAAATGATATATGAAGGAAGAATTGTAGGTAATCAATCCATATTTCTTTCTGTAAAGATTCTTTTTTAAACTTCCCAATTTATTGTACTGCTTTGAAATGTTCTTCTAATCCCCCACCCAAGTGCTAACCAGGTTCTCTGCAGCTTATTCCAAGATAATCTCTGGCTTCCACTTTCAATGATGGAGATTTATCTGCTGCTTCTCATTCCAATTATGCAAATTCAACCTTCTGTGACTGAATCAACTTGCAGAGCTGCTCAGAGGAAGAGGCAGTTTTTGCTTGGCTTCAGATTCACTTCCTCTCACTGTGTCTCTCGCACAGTAATAGTGTCCAGTGTCCTCTGGCTTCAGGTTGTTCATTTGCAGATACAGCTGGCTTTTGGCATTGTCCCTGGAGATGGTGAAGCGTCCCTTGACTTTGTCTGAGTAGAATTTTCCACTGGAATCAGTATATATGAGCGCAACCCATTCCAGTCCTTTCCCTGGATATTGCCTCACCCAGTACATCCAGTAGCTGCTGAAGGTGAATCCAGAGGCTTGGCAGGAGAGACTGAGGGAGTCTCCAGGTCTCCTCACATCCCCTCCAGACTCCACCAGCTGGACATCTGACTGCACACCTAGAAAGAAAGGTATTTCAATTAACTCTCCTGTATGCAAGAACAGAAAATGGAAAGAACCTGATTAGGGAAGAAATAATTACCTCTGAGGACTGCTAGTAAGGACACCAGGTTTAGCCACAGGATCATTTTTGCTCCCTCCAATGAATGGACTTGACAAGAAAAGATTTGGGAAAATGCACAAACTTTGTGTTGGTGGGTGTAGCCTGAAAAGGGAAACCATGGGGCTCTTTTAAAGGGGAATTTGTGCCTTGATTTACATATCACTTGGGATAAAAGAGCCTCCTTGGTGCACTGACTTACAGATTTCTTTGAATATCCATTTCATACATGAGATTCAAATGATGTTCCAGTGCTAAGAAACTCAAGATTGCCATGTGTTTTACTGTGAGTAGAGAGGAGAAAGGGCAGGTCTACACTGGAGTAAGTAAAGCAAGATCTTGCAGAACCTCCTCATTTCAAGAAAGGATTTTAAGGTGAGAAGAAGAAATCTTGTGCTGAAAATTCCTTAAATAGCCATGTTAGGGACTGAACATAAAATGGATGGAATATCTGAGTTTGGAATGTTTGCTCCACCATTGTTCCCTTGACCATGTTCTTTTCAAGAAACCTCAATCAACAATGCAGACCAAGCCATAAGAAGCAATTTGTCAGCCACTGCTGAATTACACATACACAACAAAGTCTCAAAGTTGGAATAATAATTAAAAAATCATACTGGAAGCCTGTGGGGTGTTCCTTATTAGTTTCTTTTCTAACTCTGCAATTGCATGGATTTCATAGATTGGTGGGTTTTGGGTTGCGATTTTTTATGGTCTACTTATCTGATGGTCTACACACGATTGAGCAAGATGGACAACCACAAACAATGAAGTAATATTACTGAAAATATTATTATTATTATTATTATTATTAAATGCCCCCAATACCCAATGCCCCTTACTTTGTCGACTGAGAAATACAAATAAATCACTTTGTATTTTCCAAAGAATTCAGTTTGTTCTATATTTAGCAGTGCACATCGGTTGTCAACTCAGACATGGATTCAAAGTAAGGATTGTTGCCTCTTGAGAAGTTAAATTTTCTTGAGATTTATTCAGTGAACTCTTAGGAAAATAGGAGTAAATATAATGATGCCTCTAAAATGAGACAATGCCTATAGACACTCGCTTTATTTCCCTAACCCACCCTCGCCCCACATATATATATTCAAAGCCGTTCAGTGTGACAA